TACGTGGATTTTCAGTTTTGCAAAATCGAGATCGACGACGGAAGACTAAATTCTGGGCTGACGCACGGTTTGATGGTAAATTGGGCTCAACACCGAAGCTACTGCCTACCAGTGACATTCCCCTAGTCCAATGTTCCGGTACGCCAGCATCCTGCTATACGGCCTGAACTCAAATCCAAGTCAGGTACGCTGGTTAGGGGATCTCAAACTGTCTCTAGGTCAGGTTGACGCTAGTTAGTCGGGAAACCATAAATTAGTTCTACGTAAGGTTACTGGCTGTCAGCAAAGACATAGTCGCGTAGAAATGCCAGCGCCGTGGTTCGGCTATTCTGGATTGTGGCGTTTCCGGATTTACACTGTGGTGATGTAGAATTCTGGACATCATCGGAGGTATATTCGAAAATGACACCTTTCATCCATGTCAGTGTTCTTATGGGATTCTAGGATCTTGGTATCACCGCAGCATTCGGCTCCATATGGGGTTGTTTTCTTCCCAAGTGGCGTGATTTCCTGTGTCCTAAGCCCACGACGGTCCCATTGTTGTATCTTGTGCCGGGTTCTGGACCTACATCGCGTGTGGACCTACAGTAAATCCAAGACCTACATCCCGGTTTATAGCTGCGGCATTTCTCGGTCTACTCCCAGGTTGATACTGAATTTTGGTTATCACCGGGTACAGATTCAGGAATGACGTTTTCCGCATCTCGTGCCGAGTTCTGGACCTACATCGCACCTGGATCTACAGAAGTTCTGGACCAGCCAGGAGCTCACGACTTCTGCGCTTACATCGCGGCTTGGTGCTACTCTGGCCAGGATACGCCGGAGCATTTACGTGGGACTGCGGCATTTCTGGGTCTACTCCCAGGTTGATGCTGAATTTTGGTCATCACCGAGTATACAGTCGGAAGTGACGTTTCCCGTATCTTGTGCCGCGTCCTGGGCCTCAGAAGTCCTGGACTAGAAGCCCACGACTTTTGGACCCACATCCCGGTTTAGAGCTACACTGGCTAGGAAACCCCGGGACATCTGCGCGGGGCTGTGGCACTTCCAGATCTACTCCCAGGTTGATGCTGAATTTTGGTCATCACCGGGTATAGATTTGGGAATGACATTTTCCGCATCTCGTGCAGGGCTCTGGGCCTACAGAAGTCCTGGACCAGAGGCCCACGACTTCTGGATCCACATCTTGGTTTACACCTAACTAACTAGAACACCCAGGAATATCTGCGCGGGGCTGCGGCGCTTCTGGATCTACTCCCAGGATGATGCTGGATTTTAGTCATCATCGGGTACAGATTCAGGAATGACGTTTCCCGCATCTCGTGCCAGGTTCTGGACCTACATCGCGTCTGGATCAACAGAAGTCCCCGGACCAGGAGCCCACGACTTATGCATCTGCATCGTAGCTTGGAGCTACACTGGCCAGGATACGCCGGAGTACTTGCGTGGGACTGCGGCATTTCTGGATCTACTCCCAAGTTGATGCTGATTTTTGGTCATCACTGGTAGTATATTCAAGAGTGACGTTTTCCGCGGTGCCAACATATTGTTACCAGTGGTGTGCTGCGCTGTTGTATTCAGATTCAGATCCGGGTAAATTTCCGGGTAAACAGATCATTCAAATCCGGGTAAATAGATCCTGTGCTTCTCAGCGAACACTCCCCCCTTTCGATTCCACAAAATTCCATTCTACTTCGACCATTCCGCGTTGTAGCACTTCTGGATCTACGCCCAGGTTGACAGTGAATTTTGGACATTACCGGGGGTATAATCGAGAGTGACATCTTTCCCTTTCTCTAGGCTAGTATTATTGCATTGCAGCATGCCTGCAATCGCCGCATTCGAGCCCAGACAAATTCGTCGTCTCTCTAAATGGCAGGACTTCCTACGTGCCAAGCCCACGTTAACCCCGAATTCTCCATACAGCATCTTGTGCTGGGACAACACCAAGGAATTGTTCCTGGACCGGTATGCTAGTTAATAAAGAAGTGCGCCCAGCTCTTGCCATATTCGAATCCAGTTACGCTCGTCAGCAAGCTCCAAATCATCTCCACGTGAGGGTCACTGACTGTTACCGGAGATGTGGTTGTGTAGAAGCATTG